CGATATCTCGGCGAGCAACCTTCCCCCCTTTAACCCGTAGTTAGGCGAACTACGTTGACTCTGATTTCTCGTTCCAGACGGGAATACGTAGGCATAAAGTGCGATACTTTGCCGAGTCATTTTCTTTTCTTTTTAGACCAGACCTTTAGCGTAGCTAGATGTAAAAAACCCCTTAGCTAGAAAACAAGCGTGGATCCCGTCGAGTACGACGGACGTGAGGGGTGCTAATACCTTCCCCTTGCGTAACCGACTCCCGAATCCAGGACTTGGTTGCGATGACCATTCCTTTCCCTCTTTGCGTTAGTTTTTCTCTGCGCGTTTCCTTTCCCTCTTTTGGGATAAATAACGCACGGTGGCGACTCTTCTGTCATGGCCGACGCCGATTTTCGCAGTAGCGACAACTTGGATAACAATGATGTGTTGCTAGATACCGCTCACTATTTATTATATGAAATGTGTGATTTAATATAATTGTCAAAGTCACGAGAACCTACAGGTTCACACACATAAGAATAATTTATGAGAGATAGAATAAATAAGGAATACCGTAAGGAACAATATACTTAAGATAATTACGAAACACCATAAGGTACAATGCACTTTAGTGAATTGTAAAACACAATAAAGTATGGCGCGCTTAATATGCAATAACGTATGATGCACTTAAATGTGATTTTAAACTTGTTGCTTACACAAGTGTTTCTATAAATAAAACCCTTATTCAGAAGCTTGTACACTTGATAAAATTAATTTTGTGAAACCTAACCATAATCTCTCTCTCTCTCTCTCTCTCTCTCACACACACACACACACACACACACACACTCTCTCTCTCTCTCTCTCTCTCTCTCTCTCTCTCTCTCTCTCTCTCTCTCTCTCTCTCTCTCTCTCTCTCTCTCTCTCTCTCTCTCTCTCACTCAAAGTCTTCATACGTATCAACTAGCACTGAGATTGAAGACACTCTATTTGTATGGACTGAGTAGAGATTTTGTTCTTCATTCAGCGCTTGTGATCATTCCTCCGATTCTACATCAAAAGTGTTAATTGCCACAAGAGGTATTCGTTTTATCAATGATTATGCATCATTCGTAAGGATCAACTAAAGGGAATTTTTTTCTTCCACTACACTTTGTATCATGATTTCTCTTTTGCTCCATTTCTCTTATTTCAAATATCTATTCCTAACTCTTATTAGGGAATGAAATTTTTACTGCCGCCTAACTGATTAATCGGGTCCCACGTTAAGTCTTAGGTAACGTTAGTCTTCTTCAATTTATGTTTTAAAATTTTCCCTTTGTTCCCACATTGTAGAACCTTAAGTCCCATGTGTATGATTGTGTTACATTTGTTCATGTTCATAAACAATATCGCAACAAGTTGAATCCCCGTGTTTTAAAATATATCTTTTCAATCATTATCAAAACTCGAATTCAAAGAGTTTGTCATAATCAAAAGGGGGAGATTATGAGAAATACATCTTATATATAATTTAATTTTGACGAAGACAAAGATTATCAAAGAAGAAAAAGTTCAAAAGTGTCACGCGCATCAATGATGAAGTTGATCAAGAAGGTTTAACATATAAATTCAACTGAATATTTAAGACAAGTGAACATAAATAGGATGCTCATCGAAATATATATTATACTATTTTAAATTGCTCATAATTTCATATCTCACTTCATCTAAAACCTTATTGCATCATCATTCGTGATTAACTAAAAACCTTCTTCATCTGATTCTTGTTACAAGTGTTTGCACACAAAATTGTGTGAGAATATTGTGATATTCATTTGTCTCCATATTGATTATATGATTGATAATTAGCAACGAGATGAATGGAATTTTACAAATAAAGAAGTTTCTAAGTTCCACATTATGTTGACACGCTTTTGGGGATCAAAGTAAAGCGAAATAGTGGGGGTTATGAACTTAGTCAAACACATTATGTTGAGAAAGTATTTGATAAGTTCAAACACTTACATTTAAAGAAAATGAGTACTTCATGTGATCCTAGTGTCAAACTTTAAAATAATGATGGAAGAGTTGTTGCCCAATTGGAATATGCAAGTGCAATTGGTTATCTAATGTATTTGATGCAATGTACCTAACATAACATTTGCAGTTAGTAAAATGATAAGATTTACTAGAAATCTAAATGGTGAGCATTGGAAGATCATCACAAATAATTTTGGTTATCTTTTGAAAAACAACAATTTATCCTCCATTATGGTAGGTTCACTGCCATAATTGAAGGATATACCAATACAAGTTGGATATCGAGTATTAGAGATTATAAATTTACAACTGGGTGGATATTTACATTAGTTGGAGGTGTAATTTTTTGGAAAAACAAGAAACAAACATACATTACTCTCTCGACCATGGAATAAGAATTTATGGCTCTTGCGTCTGCTGGACAAGAAGCAAAATGATTAATGGACCTTCTGTTTGAGATTCCATTAGCCAAGGACGATGTTTCAAAAGTGTTGCTACGTTGTGATAGTCAAGCCACCCTAACTAGAGCATTTAGTGAAGTATACAATGAAAAGCCTAGGCACATAGGTCTTGAACATTCTTTTGTGATAAAATTGATTAACGATGGGATCATTTCACTAACATATATACAAACAAGCTATAATTTAAATGATCCATTTACTAAACTACTGGCCAGAGATTTAGTAAAGACTACCTCGAGAGGTATGTGTGAAACTCCTTGAATAAGGGTCCCGACAAAGATAGCAACCCAATATGAAATTAACAAATCTTACCTAAGATTCAATGGGTAACAACAAGTTATTGATTTGGATGTTTGTTCAACATTACGTGACAATGTTAATTATTACATATTGAGGGTTGAGTTTTTCAAACTACTAATGAAGTTCTATATTGAGGATATGTATCTCAAAATATATATATATAAAATGAACTTCACCTATATGAATTTTGAGATGATGTCGTCTCAAAGTGATAATTGGAGTTTCTCTCATGAAAAAAATCACAAAAACAGGAAAAACACATGGCCATAAATAATGTTAGGTGAGAGATGTAAGCGAAGGACCATTAAAAAATGTATGTAAGGTAACGCTGGTATAATCACAAGGGATAATGGTTCAAAGTATAGCTACCTAACATTCTCATTAAACTTTGTGTTATCCTTACTAAGGTTAAGTTCAAATCGAAAGATGCTTAATTGTATTAACATTCTTTTCCTCTCCTTTTCTGGATTTAGTCTTGTCATTATTAGAACAAGTGAAAAATTGTTGTAAATTATTAAGAATTAATAATCTTGAGTGTGTTCCCAAATGACAAAAAAATATGTAAGTGAAGATTAATTTTGAATTCAGAAATAGGCAACACTTGTGAAGTGTTGCAGTAGATTTGAATTCGTAAATAGGCAACACTTTGTGAAGTGTTGCACAATGAAAGTATGCAACTCTTGAAGAATGTTGTTATAGGCGAAATAATGTAAATTTTGGTAAAAGTATGTAACTTTTGACAAAAGCTTGTAATTCTTGGTAAAAGGAAGTTGTTTCACAAAGGGTCGCAACTTTGTGAAACAACATCAATATGATCTATAAATACTTCATTCCAAATTCTAAATAACATTACAAAAACATACATCCTCTTCACTAAAATTCTATATATTCTTCTCTACATTCGAGTTTTTATCAGTCTTAAGCAAACTTGAGTGTATGTTGAGTTATCCTAAGTATTCTCAGGTTCTAACTCTAAAACATTTAAAAGTGATTAAAATACTTATAAAAAAGTGATTTCGTTTACGATTCCATCTACGATCCATTCTATTTATAAATTATTTTTCTAACAAAATCATGAGAAAAATGGAATGGTGCCATAGCAATTGGTAGTGATGGTGGAACCCTTAGGTTTTGATTTGAATTAAAGTTTGAAAAAAAATGTTAAGAACAATATATACATGATCAATAGCTCATGTGCTAAGAATCCAATTATCACTTCTATTAAGGCCAAAAGAATAAAGGCAATTAGGGATACATGCAAGAGTATTCACATCATAGTGTAAGTGACGAACGATTGTTGAGGTGAACGTTGGAGCAATGCAACTAATGCCTTTTGTTGGAGATTTTATCCACCTCCCCACACAAGTTGCATTTTACCTTGAATTTTATGTTTTTTTTTTTCTTTTAAATCTTTGTGTTTCCTACATTTAAAGGCAGGGTAATTTCCTTTACCATTTATGCAACTTCACAATTACAGTTAAAAGATTTGCTTCATTTTTGTCTTGTTTGTACATTGTAGCTGAAAGTGGCCATTTTAGATGAACGTAGTTGTACTTGTACAGCTGAATCTTATTCATTTCAATGTTTCGTCTGTCCTCATATCATATTCTCTTTTTGTTTTTTTTTTCTTCTTTTGACAAATTGATTCTGTCTTCTCATCTATCCAAGATAAGAAATTTGGCCCACATACATTATTTAATGAACCACTTGTTCAATGAGATTCTAATTTATTTTTAATAATAAGTGGGACCTTTTTGTTTACTTCTTAATTTTTTTTCTAAATTATTTGTACATCTTACCTACCCTAGTTATTGTTAATTATTTTGAAATTTCTTCATTTAATCATTTAATAATTCCTCAAGTCTTTATCCTCACTACTAGACAATAATGTTAGTGTTTTTACTTTGAATTATACTATTCCATGCACATGGTGTCAATTATTATTATTGCATATAAATGACACAAACTTGATGAGCATGAATATCATAAACATTATCATTGCATGCCATCCATGGACCACATGCAATACCATACATCACATCATCAACATGCTCAACATTGAGCTACCATACTAATATTAAATAAATAAAAAACAAAGTTACATCTCTCAAAGAAAGATTAATAATTAAAAGCATTTAAGGTCTCCAATCTCCATGAACACTTTTATTTCTCCATAATAATATCTTACACATCACTTGTTTCTTCTTTCTTCTTTCTTCCACCATGAAAGTTAAGTTTCATTCAAGGTTCATCATGGTGCTGTTTGTTAGCAACACTACACTGTTTTCTTATCTCACCTTTTGTACCGGTTAGAGGATTATTCTCAGAAAGCAACGTAATAGCTTTAGAAAACTCCTTGAAGAAATACTCTTGACTTTTTGCCATTTTCTTCACATAAGGTTTTGTTCTTTTGTCATGTGCTAGTTGATGATCCACTAGTAAAAGACCCTTGTTGTCAAGAATGTTTCTATAGTAATTGTTATCGAGAACCATAGGAGTACCACGGTCATTTCTCACGTATTGTACTGCCTTAGGGTCAGGGATTGAATCAGGACACTTCTTTAGCATGTGTGGAACGTGATCTGGATTCAAAGCTGGATCAACTTCTGGATACAAACGGTGCACCAGTTTTGTGCAATGAGTCCTACCAACACTGTGTGCTCCTGCATGTTCAACACAATCATAATCAATCACTAATAAAATTTATTATGATATCGCAGACGGTACAATCTTAAATCTAAATCTAACATTATACCAAGCAAAGAAACAACTCCAGGAGTGTCGATTCCCATGGCACCAAACTTGTCAAGAACCGAAGAAATTGATTCATTGTGGTCAGGAAGGTACTCCTCCAACAGATCCACTCTGCTCTTTCTTCCATCTCTTCTTCCAGTTTTCAATGGAATATAAGGACCTCCTAGCTGCAAACACCAAATTAATTAAAAAATAAGTTTAGTCCTGCAACATAAGTCAAAAAACATCTAGACTAGATTATCCTTAAAAAAAAGGTGTTTTTTCTTTAAAAGGAAAAAACAGAAAGGGAAATATATACCGAAACAATTCCATCTCTAGCTGAAAGAACAAGGATATCAGAACAAGAAACAACACCAGGACACTCTCTTTCAACAGCTTCTTTGATGGTATCAATGTACCGAAAATTCCTCAAACCAAAGCTTCTGTCATGTTCTTGTTCAGACAAGCTTCTTCTAGTGGATGTGAGCAACAAAGAAGCATCACAACTCTGAATAAAAAAACATTTTAGAAGTGATTAAAATAAGCCAAAAAAAGTGTTAGAATGAAAAGAAACTTGTGTTATTATGTTAATTACCTGAACAGCGCAATCATGGAAAATGTTTCTGAGCCATGAGAAAGCGGTGTTCTTGTGGCGTTTGTAGAGAAGTTTGACTTGTTCTTTGATGATTTCTTCAGCTTGTGGACATGATTCTTTGTAGTAGTTTAAGAGGAGGCCGTTATCTTCTACTGCAGAAGAGATTGTTAGGAAGAGTTGTGGTGAAAAGGATAAGAGAGCTAAGAAGATGAAGGCTTTGTTTGGAGACATTGTTGAGTGGAGTGGAGTGAAGTTCAGTGAAGTGCTTGCTACTGCTTAAATAACAAAATAGCTAAATAAATATTCTAATAAATTATTAGTTTTGTTAAATCAGTGAATAATGTGTTCGTAACCTTTTATAAATTGTCTTGTTGTAGTTTTATAAATTTGACGTCCGAGTTTGTAAGAAATAAGGGTGAAAAGTCTAATCGGTTGCATGTTTTAGGTATTAAATGGTTAGAGTTGCGTGGCAAATACAAACAGGGAGGTGGCTCAAAGAGTCAGTCGACTTGTTTCAGCTGGCTTGGCAATGGCAGCTGCCATAGTGAAACTCATTTTATTTCAACTCCCTCTTGTATTATCCCAAAAAGTGAAGGAATCACATGATAGCCATGACATGGGAACTATGGTAGTACCTCAGGATTTTTCATGGTTTTAAAAAACAGTATGCAACCAAATAGTGTTGACAATTGTCCATATCTAATATTCTATCATTTTTATATTAAAGAATTTGCTAAATGATACCGCGACGATCACAATCAATAATTCTTAATCATGTAGAGATCAAAATTGTGAAAGTTTTTATGTGATCATAATACCTCTGAAAATTTATTCAAATAAATAAGGGTTAAATATTGTTGAGTTTGTAATTCCTTGTGTCAAAGCAGTGTAGTTCGACATAAACAATGTCTAGTCGAATAATCTAATGTGTGTGTGTCAAGTTGTATTAGCGTGTCGAAGTGTCGAAGCAGATTGTTTCACACAAGATTTCGACTTAGACCTATTTTAGTAATGTTAGCTATTTTGGGTTTTTATAGTTTTGAGATTTGACTTAGGGTGCAAGCTAACCTAAATCTATAAATATGGAGTAACCTTTATTTTGTACACAACTCATATCTCACCATTGTTTTCATATATTTGCATTTGCAATTGAATAAGAGAATTTCCACAGTTTGTGGGTAGAGAGAACTGTAGAATTTTCATCTTCTTCTCCAACGTCACTTTCTTTTTTTCTCAATCTTTTCATTGTCATTGCGTGATTAATAACATTCTTGAGATCATGATTGAGTGAAAATCTCCATAGGTTGTGGTCGAATTCTAACATCTGGTATCTAGAACTCCGGTTGCGATTCAAGGAAGTAAAACCGTGATGACGACGAATCATCCAAACAGACACTTTCCGGCGAACCTTCGGATTCTCAAGAAAGATAATTATGAGATTTGGTGCAAGCAGATAAATGTGGTTTTCTGTTATCAAGATCTTTGGGATCTTGTGAAGGAAGGAGTAACACCGCTTGCAGAAAACGCAACGGATCAAGAAAAGACTGCACACAAAGAATTGAGGAAGAAAGATTATAAAGCTCTATTTATAATCCATCAATGTGTTGATCCAAATAATTTTGAAAAGGTTAGTGATGTAGAATCAGCAAAGGAAACGTGGGAAATTTTGGAGAAGTCGTTTGAAGGAGCAGAAAAGGTGAAAGGGGTGAGGTTACAAACTCACAAAAGAACCTATGAATTGCTTCAGATAGAAGAAAGTAAAAGTATAACATATTTCTTCACTAGAGTTACAAAACTGGTGAATCAAATCAAGGTATGTGGAGAAGTGTTGATATCAAGATCATTTATTACAAAGATCTTGAGGTCATTGGCTCCAAAGTTCAACCATGTGGCAGTAGCCATAGAAGAGTCGAAAGATTTGTTAGTATTGATAAAGGAAGAGCTTCAAGAGACGCTTGAGTCTCCTGAACAAAAGATATTTGAAAGAGCTGCAAGAAAGTCGAAGAGTGATATGACTTTGCAGGCGCAGTCAGAAAAAGAAAATGAAATTCTGGTATCAGATATGAGATGTCGAAAGAGATGTCACGACACTAATATCTGAACAATTACCAATGTATGAACAAGATAAAATGCAGTTAAAAATTGTAAAAGGACACAAGTAATTGTTAACCTAGTTCGGTGCAAACACACCTACGTTTGGGGGCTACCAAGCCAGGAAGGAAATCCACTAAACAGAATTAGTTTGAAGACTCTCAGCAAACTCTCTCTAGCTTACAATCTTTACACCTAATCTCTACCTGTGTAACTTCTCTCTAAGACACTCTCAGATCTGAGACACCTCTTTCTCCCCCTCAATCACACGCAGTGATAAAAACAGAAGATCAAAAAGTAGAAGACACACTTCAAGGACAACACTTGGTCTTGCTTAAAAGTTTCAATCAAGAACAATGCACTCGTGCTTAACAACTTAGAGTGGACAACTTACAACACAAAGAACTCAGTCCAATTCACACATCAAAGTGATGAACGGATGGCTCACAAGAGAACAACTAACAAAAACTCAAACCCTAACAAGAGACAAAACGCAGTTTTCTCAAAATCTTATGTCTACCTTGCAAGTAGGGTTAACACGTCTTTAAATAGAAACCATTGTTCATGGGCTTGGGCAAAAGTAATCCATAATTAAAACTAATTATTCTCCATATCTTTTTGCACAAAAATGACAACAAACCATTCTTCAAAAGGAAACAAAATATACTTGCTTCAAATAATGGCACGCCTTGATTTGCGCAAGCAAGCACTTAACAAAGGCACACAAAAGATTGTAGAACAAAACGTAACAGACAAAACATAACATTCTGACTGAATGTTCTGTATACATATGTTAGGACATCATACTTGACATCATGAACTAAACCCTACAACAAAAAAAAGAACCACATGCAGAATGTTAAGATCACATGTCAAGACATCATATATGACATCTTGTGATAACACCAAGTTTTACCAAAATGGCTGCCAATCACAGAACTAACAAACTCCTCCTTTGGCAAATTTTGGCTAAAATAACAATTGATCACAAGAGCTACCAGAACACATCAGAGAGCACAACAGCAGCAGAAAAACACAAAAAAGCCTAACATGTCAAATAGAAAAATAAAGCTCCCCCTCACACCAAAGTGCCAGAGAACCATACCACAACACCAGAAAGAAATACTCCTCCTCAACCCAGAAATAGCAACAACAACACAACATCCTAATAAATGATGTGTGAATTGAAATACTCCCCCTCCACCTCTTTATTTTTGGAAAATACAAAACCTCTTGAATGATATTTCCACTCAGCAATAATTTCTACAAATCCTCATAAATGCAAATCCCTAATTTTCCTCTTAAAATTTCAAATTGAAAGCATCCAATGCCTTATTGAAGATGTCAGCTAGCTGCTTCTCTGTAGAAACATGTTCTAAGGCAATGATCCTGTCTTCAACAAGCTCCCTTACAAAGTGATGGTGAATATCAATATGCTTGATCCTACTGTGTTGAATAGGATTTTGGAGATGTTTATAGCACTTAAATTGTCACAATACAATGTCATGACATCTTGTGTGACATTATATTCAGTCAGCATTTGTTTCATCCACACCAGTTGAGAACAACTACTTCCAGCTGCTATATACTCAGCTTCAGCAGTAGACAGAGATACATAAATTTGCTTCTTGCTGAACCATGATATAAGATTTTTCCCCAAAAATAAGCAACCTCCTGATGTGCTTTTCCTATCATCAGCACTTCCAGCCTAATCAGCATCACAACACCCAGATAACACATAGCCAGATCCATGAGTGTATAACATTCCATACTCACTTGTTCCATTAACATACTTCAGAATCCTCTTTACTTGATTGATATGACTCACCTTGGGTTCAGCTTGGTATCTAACACACACACCTACAACAAAAGCAATGTCAGGCCTGCTTGTTGTAAGATATAACAAGTTCCCTATCATACTTCTATTAAGACTTTGATCCATATTTAAACCCTTTTCATCTTTAGACAACTTAAGATGAGTAGGAGCAGGTGTTCTTTTATGACTGACCTTCTCCATCCCAAACTTCTTAACTATATTCTTGGCATATTTACTCTGAGATAGGAATATAGAATCTTCCATCTGTTTAACTTACAACCCAAGAAAATAGGTTAATCCACCAACAAGGCTCATTTCAAATTCTGACTGCATTTGCTGGACAAAATGTTGAACCATCTTATCAGACATCCCACCAAACACAATATCATCAACATAGATTTGAGCAATCATGAGCTTTCCTCCTTCTTCTTGAATTCTTTGACAAAGATCTTTGAACATATCAAACACTTCAGATTTTTCTCTTATAAAATTCACCCAAGTATATCTGGAAAAATCATCCACCACCACATAAGCATACTTCTTTCCACAAAGACTCCCCACCTGCACAGGTCCCATCAAGTCCATGTGAAGGATTTCCAACACTTTTAAAGTAGTGAGATGTTTAACCTTCTGGTGTGACATCCTAGTTTGCTTTCCAATTTGGAATTCACCACATATCTTTCCTTCTTCAATCTTTAGCTTAGGAATTCCTCTGATAACTTCCATAAAGATGATCTTCTTCATCCCTTTTAGATGAAAATGACCAAGTTTTTGGTGCCACAGTTTCACTTCATCTTCTTTGCCTAGAGCACATACGGAGGTGTAACTAGAATCTTGAGGAACCCATAGATAGCAGTTGTCCTTAGATCTGACTCCCTTCATAATCACTTCACTCTTTTCATTAGTAACCAAGCATTCAGATTTAATGAAGTTGACATTGAATCCTTGATCACACAGTTGACTGATACTAATCAAGTTGGCAGTCAACCCTTTAACCAGCAACACATTATCAAGGTTTGGAACTCCTGAGCAGTTCAGCTTTCCAACCCCCTTGATTTCACCCTTGGCTCCATCACCAAAAGTCACATAGCTAGTAGAATGGGATTTGATGTCTACTAAGATATTTTTAATTCTTGTCATATGTCTGGAGCACCTACTGTCAAAATACCAATCCTTTTTAGCCGAGACTCTGAGAGACATATGAGCTATCAAACTGGTAGCAGCAGCTCTAGGAACCCATTGCTTCCTATTAGAAGGATTGTTGTGATATGGTCTAGGTTGAGGAACAGGTTTAGGATATCTATATAGCCTGAAGCAGAAAGGC